GACGCAAGATTTGATAAACGCGCAAATATACGAGAACAATTTACGAACATCGAGGGCCACTCGATGGGATATTTTTCGAAGGGATACGTACTCGCATTTGTGACAAAATGCGACGAAAAAGAGAATATATCGAGAATTTAGTCGAAAATCGTCAATTGAAAATTTATTAAGGTTAAATCTCTCAATTCGTGGAATCCAGGATAGAGAAAGTACGAGTAAAGCACACGTATATACAACCATAAAATCTATTTACGTACAGGTTCTACAAAAGAACCATAAAGCCTATTTATACGAATAATACAACCGTAAAATTTATTTATATACAGTTCTACGAAAGGGATAAAAAGGGATGCAGAATTCTATCGCGTTCACCCCTAACTCCATTTTCACAATTCTGTTCACGCGAGAGCCATCGAGACCGTGTTCACTGTTTTAACAACAGTCCTCTCCACTTTCTTCTCACAGAGTTCCTCCAAATTCTCCAAGTCTTCCCTGCAGGATTCTCTCCTTCTCTTCTCACCCTCCTCTCTGCCGTGCTTCATCTCTTCCTTCGTTCTCCTTCTCTCGTTATCCTTGTTAACGAGCCGTTCGAGCTTCAACTCGTCCATTGACGTCAGCGACAACGTGGAATACGGTAACCTATGAACCACTGTTCCTCCAGGCATGCTGGTTAACAAGTTGTTCCACTTTTCCAAGAAAGGCTCACTGGTCCCGGAGATCTCACCGACCGACTCCATCGACGTTCTCCGTTTCTTCGACTCGTCATCCTGCCCGAATAATCTGAAGATCCAAGTGACGACGGTGAGGGTGACGGCGTTGGTTGGAAAGGCCCTGATGATGGTCGAGCTGAGGCCTCTGTACAGGCACGAGTATCCCTCTTTCGTCACCGTTTGCCTGAGACAGTCGACCAGCCCGGTGTAACGGTGGCCGTCTGCTTGAATCCGCGACTTGACCAGGTCCAGCGGGTAAGAAACGGTCCAGGAAACGGTACCAGCCAGCCCGCCGGCCAACAGCATGCACGCCGTGGAGACAGGGGCGTTGTCAGGCGTTCTCGTTAAGATCTCGTAGGTGAGGAAGTAGGTGCCGAAGCTTGGAATTTCACGGAGCAACGTGACGTTCAAACCTCTGAACACGCCGCGGTATCCTTCGTGTTTGTACGTGTATCTGAGGCAGTCGATCGGCCCGGAGAATTGCCTCGCGTCGCAGGCAGTTGTTCGCAGCTGCATCCGTGTTTTCACCAGTTCGATCGGACTGCAGATTGGACTTTGAGCGAGGCCGGCCAACGCGCCGGAGACGAAGCACCAGGACAAGGAATTCGGGTCGGGTATGTGCCTCCGGGTTTCGCCGTACACGCCGAAAATCACGGCGTTCACCAACGTCACGCCAGCCACTGGCGACGATATGCCCCGGTAAAGGCCTGCTACCTGGGATAGGATTAATCGTATTAATTAATCGAAATCTTGCAATCGAGATTTGTCGACGACGATCGACAACAACGCGGTTCTTTCTCCGTTTCTTTCTCTGTGAAGTACCGATTCTTTCGCGAGTATCGTCCGAAAGCAGTGCCAGTTGCCTCTGTACTTTGGCTTGCGGTAATCTTGCGTCTGCATGTGGACTTTGATGGTGTCCAGAGGATATCCCACCATAACACCGGCAAATCCTGGAACAAAGTTATTTTTACGTCCTTCTTTGTAATTATTACTCCTATCGCCTTGTCGATGATCGATCGACTCCTTTTTACACGAATTTATCGGCTTCGTTTAATTAGCTTAATTCGCGACTTTCTTTTATCGGGCGATAAAATGGAATAACAACAATAACGTTTCACGCAGATATCATTTAACGCTAAACTATCGATGAAAATACATACGACTTTCTGTACGACGATAACAGTTACGACGATTGCAGTTAAAATAAACTGTAGAGGAACGGGAGTAGATCCCTTCGTTATTTTTCTTCAGCGAGCGCTGATTATTTCGAAACGAGAGGAATTACTCCGACCGTTTAACCTACGTTAATTTCTGCCAACATCTCTCTCTGTTGTTGAAAGAAAGAAAGTTCCTCGAGCTCGAAGGAATTTTCGTTTTTATCTCGTAAGCCAATTTCTGCTTCTAATTTTGTTTGTTTTGTTTGATCTAGGCGAGAAATTGAAGAAAAACACGAGCGAAAACTACCTCCGACACATCCGGCGAAAAAGTCGAGGGCCATCTTCGTTTTTTCCACCCGTACGGTGACCGTGAATTCTCCGCGTTATTATTCTCGTAAGATCTCTCTGTCACGTTTGTCAAGGACGCATCGACGTGTGTCGCAATGGGAGAAGTGGAATCCATGAAAGATCGATCGCTGTCCTGTCGTACTCGTGCCTGTAATGCAAACATCAATTAAAATCCCCCCCCCTCTGAAACATCTAAATCCGAGCAAGGAGTGATTTCCCTTGAATAACTAAGTAACCTAACTCGCGAGTTCACTGATAAAAATCACGTTCTTCATAATTTATACAAGCAGATGACAAAAAAAAAAAAAAAAAAACAATGGTACTTACCGAGTAGCGAGGCATCGCTACATCTCTAGGAAACGGAACTTCTCGTACCGTTTCGATCCTCTATTTTAACTTAATCTTCGACGTTTGCTTCCTCTAGTAACTAGAGATCTTTGGACTTGACTTACACAGAGGGGAAACAAGTCTCTCCCATGCTCTTGTGAGCAAATACAATTTCACACTGGCTCTCTTGGAGCACAAACATCATACACGAATTATCGTCAGCTTCATTGCTGTAGCAATATCAACATCTTGAATGTATTACGGCACCAATGTCAGTAACATTCACGCATCCCCACGCGACTTTTCGTCGCGGGTCAATCGCTGATAATAGGCCGTTTTTCTGACGTCCAATTGAATTATTTAGGCGCTCATTGGGCGTTCA